GCTAGTGGATTAAAAATCTCAACCCTAGACGGACCTCTGACAGATGGGCCCTTGCATTTGGTATACTCTCATAGAAGTTGTGGGGAGCCCAGAACAAGAGACTATTTGCAGGTGAATCCTTCAAACCCTTGGAAATCATCTCTACCATGGAAACCTTGACCAACCATACCATTTCCTCCAGGTAACTTACTGACCACCTAAGTACTCACCATAGTTATTGGTCCCTGTTGGCAAAGTGTTTACTTTTTGTCAGTCTTGGTAGTTCCATGTATATTTTACCCTATGTAATTTACACTGTTGAATGAATTTTCCTTTCCATTTTAAAAAAAAAAACATTGTTAACAAAATCGTATAATGATATTAACAACTTGTGTAATGTCATTAACCACATAAAAAGTTTTTTACACCCAGAGAGATTAGTCATAGCATCATAAATGAGAAATTTTACAACTCCTATAACACAGATAACAAGTTGTTTAACAATATTAGCAAATTCGTTATCGCCTTTTACAACAAATTTCTAGGAAGAAAAAAAGTAGGACTTTTACAATTTGAGTAATGCTGTTAATAAGCCTTATAAAGATATTGACAACTCTCAAAAAATTAGTGACTGTCTAATAAACTGGGAAATTTCATTGTATAACCTTCACATAAAGTTGATATTAAAAACATCAAATATATGACTATTAACAAATTGCTACAGCAAATAAGTAGTAGACAATTTGGTCATTTTACAATATTTAGAAATTCACTATTTAGTCATGTGTAACTAAATGAGAAATTTTTTTTATTCAAGTCACCATCTAAGGTTTTCAAAATTCAAGTGTCATTTATGATTTTTCCTTTTTAATACCTTGCATCACATGCACAAATTAAAGGGATAACCATATTATTAGGCCCATTTGGTTCAATGGAAGGATTTTTTTTTTTAATGGAATATATAAATGGAAATAAAGCGAAAAGATAGTTATCAAAATGTTTGTGCTACACATGAGTCTAAACAAAACATATAAAGCATAGGAAAAATAGATAGATTGAAAATACATTCAAATGAAAAAACTAAAGAATCTCTCGTCTTGATCCACATGAGTAATAATTAAGTGACGATAAGATAATCAACCTTTTTGTTCATTCCATGATGAATAGTTGCTTTCCATGTATTTTTTATGGAGATCTGCCAACCTTCTGGGTATTTTTGTTTCCCACTTTCATTTTCACTCTTTTCAACTAGTGTCATTGTTCTTACCAGTAATGCTATGGACACATTTACGATATCTTAAAGAAATTGTTTAAATAAAATTTGGCTGGTCTAAATTTTATTAGTTTTAATTTTTTTTAACCTCATTCTAATACTTTTTTTTCAAAAAAGAAAAAGGAGATCTTTAGGCCAATTCTCAAACTTCTTATAGAGATGTTAGAGTCTTTTTAGGTGGAGAAGATAATATTTTTGAAAATTATTTAAAAGGAGATGGAGAATAAATGAAAGTGAAATTTAAAAATATGCCTGACTTCGTGAGAATAATGCATGGTTTTAAATTTATGTATGTACTACTTCCAATCCTTAATATAAGAGCTAGTTGACTAATTTGAGTAGATTAAAGAAACTAGTTAAGTTAATTATTTGTAATAAATATGTATTGTCTTTTTTAAAATATCCTTGATAGCTAAATATATTAGCTAGAACTACCTTATTACAAGGACTACTTTGAAAAAAATAGATAAATATGAGAGATAAATTATATCGGGATCTTATAATTAAAACCAAAATAAAAATCAAACAAGTTTTATATTAAAAATTAAAGATAGTATTTAAGACACACAGTTATCAATATATCCTTATTAACTTTTTTTTAAAAAAAATTATAGGACAGGTTCTAATGCCCAAAGGTTACAAATCAAACCTATGACTTTTCACTTATAGTGAGCTATTATCTCATTAGACTACACTACCATTGGTATACTTTTATCAACTAGTCTGGAAGAGCACTTGTGCACTTTACAGAATAAAATTTCACTCACATATTTATTTTATTTTGTTGTGTGGGGCTGGCTTTTTTTTTTTTGCTTCATTTTGGTTTTGCTCAAATTGGCCCAGATTTTTTTTTTGTAATCCTTTATTTGGTTTTGAATAAAATTGACATTTTATGAAAAAAAAGTCAATCCTGTATGACTAATCCAAACGGGCAGGTACGTTGAAGCTCACAATTAATTTGAAATTTATAAAAAAAACTAAGATAAATCGTTATTTGAGAGAATTTTCAAAGGCTCTATAATTAGGGGCGAAGCTTTGACTCCTTGAAGGATAAATACAAAATAGAAAAGAAAAGAAAAGAAAAACAGAGGTATATCTTCATGTCTTGCCTTTAAATCCATGATGTTAAGCAGTTAACGTCATTGACAAGAAGGGAGGCATCTACGCATCAGCATCAAATCAAACAAACAGTTTTCAAATTACCTTAAAAACTAAGCTTTAAATTTAGGCTTTTTTACAAAAAGGACGGTTTCCCAATATCCACATTGCTTCTCTTACAAGCATACCACAATTTGTTTTGTGGGCTCCGGCCGTGGAATTATTAATTAATTAGGGCAAACTAAAAAAATTATTTCTCAGCAGCCTTCTTTCCCCTTTTGGATGACAAATTAGGTATTGGTACATTTACTAACTGCTCATTTAATTTGGTGTCAATATGTGTGGTGTACTCAAATTTTTGAAGGAATATTTTTAATCAAACCATTCTCAACTTTGCCAAATAGCCAATATCACACTTTGCCCTGCAACAAGAAGCGTTTAGCCAATCACCAAATGGTTTTATGTGAGCGAGAGGTCATGAATTTGATTATGCCTGTAATCTCAACTTTAAAAGAAAAAGAGAAAAAGAGAACTTGCATTAGGATTGATCTAAGGTGATATTAATTGATGAACATTCTTGTCAATTTGAAATCTGTGTAATATTTGCTTCTAGTTGAGTTTTTCAAAACTTTTTTTTGTGTGTAAAATTTCAAAGCTATTTCTTCCTCTTGTTTTCTTCATGACTATCTAATTGAGTTTGATTTGAATATTGTTTGGTCTAATTAGAACATTTTTAAAGGCACTTTATTTACTCACATAGACTCGAGCTTTCATATTTAAGCTGTTAAAATCTCTCTTCTATCTCTTCCACTATGATTATTATTTGTTGGCAAAGTTATTTCCTATTTACGTCTTTCTTAATTTTTTTTTTCACCTGACATATGCTAATGCTATGTTAGCACATATGTCAATGGCAAGATGATATACCTACAACAATTGTGGCATAAGATTTTAATTAAAAGAAGAAATTATATATAATAAAAAAATTCCCATAAATTAGATTATTCATAAATTCTGTATAAACTATATCATTTATTTCTTATAATTATTTTTTTTGGCCAAACATTTATTTCTTATAATTAGCAAATTGAATAGCACATGTAACCAGACCAATTATACTTTTAATTTTTTGTCGTCCTTAATGTATATATGTGTCTCAATGTGGGCACACAAAAAAACATATGGACATGTGCACATTCAAAATTTGATATGACTACCACCTAATTACCTAATTTTGAATAGTGGCACTTACATGTCTCATTTTCATTTTACTTTTATATTAATACAAGTAGTATTTCATATGAGTTATCTTCTATTTCCATATCATCTTTGCTATAATTTTATTACATAATTACTATCATGTAACATTGCATAATTTTTTATGTAATATTTTGCCACAAACATTTATTATATCTCAATTATTAGGTTGAATGTATTTTTAAAATAAAATTATTAATCAATATTCATAAATATTTTTCATATAAATATTCATAAAATGATTTAAGTAACTAAAATAAAAAAATTAGCATTAATAAAAAATATGTATGATGTTAAATTGCACTATTTGAATGCCTTAAAGAAAAGATCAAATCACAGTTCTTTTTTTTTAAATTTCTTTTAGATTTGTGGGAATGTAAGGAGTCTATATCTCGGTATCAATTATTAAATTAATCCCATACTTGACCTTAGATTTTTGTTTACTCAATTTGTTTATGACTCAACTTATACAACTTACTAGTAATGCTATGAACAACTCCAAATTCTGTTTTGCGTTTTCTTTTAACCAACAAACAACTCCAAATTTAGTCACAGCTATAAATAATTGAAAAATTGTGGGGGAAAAATATATTGATTTTCATAAATTAAATGTTATGCTGTAGTCAATATAAAACTTCAAAAAATGTTAGCTTAATAAATATAAAAGAATTGTATCATTTTTTATACTTTGAATTTGAAGTATGAGTGAAAAAAAAGTTCGAAGTGTATATAAGATTTGTTTTCTCTATTTTCATAATTTCTCACACATAAGTTTAAAATATTTTAAAAGATTCAAATTTATTACATTTTTTCTTTTTAAACCATTCAAATTCAAAATAAAAAAATGCGAGTCTGTAAAAATAAAAAAAATTGTCATTGGTACATGGAACATAAGAGAACTCTATCTTTTTCTCAATTTTGACATGTTATTGCTTTGAACGGCCATGATAGAAACGGTAACTTCGGAAAACTTGAATGATGCAAAAGTAAGAATAAAGAAAATTCGGAGGGCAGAATAGCAAAATGCTTTGGTGTGATGACTTTTTGTTCTGGTGCTCCCCGCCTTTTCCTTCGATTTGACTCTCCTAGCACAGTTCACACGATGGACGAGCCCGATCTTTCCTCCAAATGTCACTTTCTTATTGGCGGATTCCAAATCTCAATTCCATTCCGATTTAAGATTCCAATAAATCTCCCCCACAACCACGTCGACCGGTTCAAGCCGGATTCGTTGAGCTTTAACCCGTTAACCGGACAGTTCGGTTCGACTGACCCACGTGAGACTTCATTTGGACTTCATTTGGCGTGCATTTCAGTATCATTTCATCGTCATTTCAGAGTCTGCACCAAAATTTAAATTCGCCCTAAATTTCTCTGCATTTCATTTCAGTTCATTTCAGTTTCGAGACGTTACTTTTTCTTTGCAATTTTCTGGGGCGTCTCTGATCTTTCTTCTTCATGTTTCCTCGGTATTATCGATGGAGATGGAAGCTTTGAATTTTCTTCCACACCAGATCTTTTTGTCTGCTAGAGAATTTCTTCGGCTCTCGTAATTTCTGTTCAGACTTTTGAGAGTAGGTAATTTCAGTTTCTTCCATCGAATTCGCAAGCTGATCTTCCCGTCGTCCGCTGATAATTAGTAAGTTCTGACTCTGGATTGAACTGATTCTTGTCCTTCGTTTTTGCTTCCATCTTTTTTCTGAAGTTTTGGTTTTATTTGTGTTTTTATAACTTGATCTGCAACTTCTAAGATGATGATGATGAGGGTGTCACTCTGATATCAAAAATTCACTCTTTTACTTATTGTCGATCATGTTAAGTCACCTTGTGCAAATTCTATCATCTTATATTTCTTTCTGTCACTGATAGTTTGGGGTAAGAGGTGACTGGTGAAATGAATACTTAACATTGCTTGTGTATTTTAAACTATATACCTTCTATCATCATCATTTGGTGGAGTTTTTGTTAGATAGTACAAACCAATGTTGGTTAATGATGCTGAAGTCGATCGGCAATTCTTTTCAATTTCTGAGGGCCGTCATGAATCTTAGATTTGCAGCCATGTCTTTCCTGACTTGTGATACTTTTGCTTAAATATTGTTTTGTTTCACCTTAATTTTGTAACTCGTACCTCCGAGACGGCACCATTTTCTTGATCTCTACGGCTGGCTTTTCTCTTTCTTGGAAATAAGAGTCACTTCCTTATCTTTTAATTTTTATGTTTTAATTTTGCGGGGAAGGGCTTAACTTCAATCATTCTGTTTAAAGGGACGATTCTCGATTTTCTCCAGATCTAGTTCATGGGGGCATTTGTTTTGTTGTGGTGGTATGGATTGGGCATATCCCCGACTAGCTTATAGCTGAAGCAAAATGGTTATGCAAAGCTGATACCCTAGCCGTTTAATTTGTCGGAAGAGTAGCCTGGCCTTTTTGCTTGGTTGAGTTGGTTCATATTATGAGTGGTTTATCCTTAGTTTATTTTTGACCCCCTTTTTTCGGTGGCGTGACATTACTGTCTTGTATTTTTAATATCCAAAGTCTATTTTATTTACTATATTCCATTTTATGTTTTATGGACTATCTGGATATCAGTCTGAGCATGTTTTCAGTAATCACTTTCCATGTATCTTGTCCTCTCTGCTCCCTCTTCACCTTGGAATATATCTCGAACTTCACCTATTATTTCCGTAAATATGAGGTGAAGATGTGTGGATGTATTTATTTATTTATTTTTTTTTTCTGTCATCCATAATTGATTTCTTCATATTCACCTTTCCATTCCCTCCTCAACTTTTGCTGTTTTGATCTTGATAGTTGGTTGATCTGCAGTTAAAGAGTCTTGCTACTGATCTCTCCTGTAATTCTTAATTTATTACTATTTGTGTTTTTCTCTGGCTGATCTCATTAAACTTCCTGATTGTTGTGCTGCAGCTAACTGAATCATGTGCAGTGGTCCAGATAAATCAAAAGCCTCCTCAACTTCTTCTTCATCTACTGTAGAAGGTGCAACTAACATCAAAGACATGAAAAATCTAACTGTTCATACGGAAGATTCTTTTTCCAGCTTGCTGGAATTTGCTGCTAACAATGATGTTGACGGTTTCAAGCTACTGCTAGATAGGGATATTTCTTCAATAAATGAAGCTGGGCGTTGGTATTGTCGCCTAATGGGGTCAAAACAAATTATTCTTGATGATAGAACTCCATTAATGGTTGCTGCAACCTATGGCAGTATTGATGTTCTTAAGCTTATACTCTCTTATCCAGAGGCCAATGTTAATTTCACATGTGGGATAAGCAAGAGTACTGCCCTTCACTGTGCTGCGTCAGGTGGATCTGATAATGCGGTTGATGTTGTGAAGCTTCTTATTGAAGCTGGTGCTGATCTTAGTTGCAAGGATGCTAGTGGGAATCGTCCTGTTGATGTTATTGTTCTTCATCCGAAGCTGCAAGTCATGAGAGCAATACTGGAGGAGCTTCTTTCTGATAGTGCCTCTCATGACTCCACAGGTGACTGCTCTATTCCAATACCTGTTAATTCATCTAGTCCTGGTTTACCTGCCCATTTATTTTCCCCCGAGAATGGAGTACCATCCTCTCCTTCAAGCTCACCTTCTTCTCCAGTGGCCTTAAAGTTGACTGACACCCCTGTTAGCTCTACCTTAGAGAAGAAAGAGTATCCAATTGATCCATCGCTTCCTGACATAAAAAACAGCATTTATGCAACGGATGAGTTTCGCATGTTCTCATTCAAGGTTCGCCCTTGCTCCCGTGCATACTCTCATGATTGGACCGAGTGCCCTTTTGTTCATCCAGGAGAGAATGCTCGTAGGAGAGACCCCAGGAAATTCCATTACAGTTGTGTGCCATGCCCTGATTTTCAGAAGGGGGCTTGTAGGCGGGGGGATATGTGTGAATATGCACATGGAGTATTTGAATGCTGGCTACACCCTGCTCAGTATCGCACTCGACTCTGCAAAGATGGCACAAATTGTAACAGAAGGGTGTGTTTTTTTGCTCACACAGCCGAAGAGTTGCGTCCACTTTATGTGTCCACTGGATCTGCTGTTCCTTCTCCACGAGCATCTGCCTCTGCTCCCAATGTCATGGATATGGCTGCTGCAATGAACCTGTTACCTGGTTCTCTTTCATCAGTGTCTTCTATGTCTCCTTCTCACTTTAACCAGCCGATGTCTCCGTCTGGTAATGGCATCTCACACTCATCTCCAGCCTGGCCACAGCCCAATGTGCCAGCCCTTCATCTTCCAGGAAGTAATCTTCAATCCAGTCGCTTGAGATCTTCTCTTAGTGCTCGTGACATTCCACCACAAGACTTGAATATGATGCCGGAATTTGATGGCCAGCAACATCTCTTGAATGATCTGGGCTGTTTCTCACAGCCCCGTCCTGGTGCTGTTGCTTTGAACCGATCTGGTCGGTCCAAGACACTAACTCCATCTAATCTTGAAGAGCTATTTTCTAATGAAATTTCTTCATCTCCTCGGTACTCTGATCCAGCAGCGGGATCTGTTTTTTCTCCCACACACAAATCTGCTGTTCTCAATCAGTTTCAACAGCTTCAAAGTATGCTGTCACCCATAAATACAAATGTTTTGTCTCCTAAGGGTGCTGAGCATCCTCTAATGCAGGCTCCATTTGGTGTGCCTTCCCCTGGGAGGATGTCACCCAGAAGTGTGGATCCAATCTCTCCTATGAGCTCTCGGTTATCTCCATTTGCTCAGCGTGAGAAACAGCAGCAGCAACAGCTGCGAAGTCTTAGTTCAAGGGATCTTGGTTCCAAAATTCCTGCTTCAGTTGTTGGTTCTCCTGGGAACTCGTGGTCTAATTGGGGATCTCCTACTGGGAAAGTTGATTGGTCAATGAATGGAGATGAGTTGGGTCGATTGCGGAAATTTTCTTCATTTGAGCACGGGAACAATGGGGAAGAGCCTGATCTATCTTGGGTTCAGTCCCTTGTTAAAGAATCCCCACCTGAGATGATGAAAGAGAAGCTGGCAGCTTCTGGTCCCATGGCATCTGCGGAAAAACTGAATTCAATGTCTCAAGTCGAGTCCATGGATAATTCTGTGGTAGGAGCTTGGCTTGAGCAAATGCAGCTGGATCAGCTTGCTGTCTAGTCAATCTGACCCTTTACATCTTGTTGAGATAGGTAATTAATTTGATGAGGTATTATATTCGTTTGGCGAATTTTTTTGCGTGGGTGGCAAGAAGGGATTTAGCAAGAGTGGTGCTGAAGCAGAGGTTGATTGCAAACTTGTTGAAGAATATTCTATTTCTTTTCATTTCAAAATTTTATCAATTATTATTTTACTACAGAGCTTAAAAGAGGGGAATAAGCCTCTCGCCTTGCCAATATTTCAATAGAAAGGAACATCCTGTCGAGGTTAGTTGTTTTTCTTCCGAAATCCCCCGTTTCAGGATCTTCAGTTTGTTCATTTTACCTCTACCCCCATTTCAAAGAAAGCTGGATGGGTTATGCTGCAAGAAAACCAAGCAGCTGTATTTGTTTTCATGTTAATCTTTCTAATGTTTACCTAGCTGTAATTTTCTATTTGCATATACAAAGTCGAGTTTCTTCTGGAGGGATCGGTGATCTGTACCATTGAATATTTATTGCTGGCAGATCGTTAGACATAGTGAGGACTGAGGATATTATGTCTTTTGACGCTGTATAAATTGAATTGTACTGGTTATATAAATTCAATGCAATTTCTTTTTCCTCTTTTTGCTTGGCGTGTCATCAGTTTTATCTGTCCAGAATCCCACTGAGCAAGAAGCCTGTGAAGTCGAATTAAAAGTTGCTCGTTGATTGATACCAAGTGAATAAATGATCAGATCATATTTTAAAAAAAAAAATTGCTTGTTGATCGTGTTAATGCTCGGGAGATAGCGTTCGATATAAAAATTTGACTGTACCAAGAAGCCTCTCGACACTTGCAGACTGAGATCCTCTGCTACTTTGATGTACTTTCAGCTAGTGGGGATGTGGATTATTTTCTCAGATTTGCACTTTCAAAATTTGATTAATCTTCTCAATGTTCTTTTACAGTTCTACCTTTTCTTGTTTGTTTATTTTACACCAGATGTTCTCACGCCAACATTTGAAGCTAGTATGTTAAGAACAGATTAGGGAGAAGTTATGGATGTGAAGCGAATGTAGAAGGATGGGAGAATATTTTTGAAGAGGGTTCTGTGATGATGTGATCTAGTCACTAGAAAGTCAATAGGGTACACATCATCCTGTTTTTGGTGTGGTGTCTATAATGAACCAAAGGTTGTTAGTTGGGGTACTTGAGGGGGAAGGAGACAAGTCTGATATGAATGGCCTTGCAGCAGTTGCAGAGTCTGCTGGGCCATTCCCCTGAGGAGTAAACTTGATATTTTAGGTGCCTCATTCTTTGACAAGGGGAGAGGAACGCAAACAGGTGGGGCTTACCTGACATGTGAGTCCCATATGACTGGGTTTCTCTCTTATTGCAGCATATTATCATTGCAGTGTAGATTTAGGATTTGAGTTTTGGCTGGGTGCGATAGAAAGCAAGATTAGTTATAATACTCAAAGATTAAGAATATTAATTAAATCAGTGAATAATATATATGTTTTAAAAATTATCTTGAGTATTTTCTTTAATTTTTTTCTCTTTTCTTGAAGCAATATTAATGAGATTAATTTGAAAAAAATGATAAATATATGAAAAAAGTTTTAATCACTTGATTATTGTTGGAAAAATATCAATAGGGTTAATTTTAAAAAAAATTAATGAATATGTAAAATAGATTTTGTATAAAAGATGAATATTAACTCTCTAATCAGTTTTTATATTAAAGACTGAAAAAATATTAGTTATTTGTTAAAAAATATATTTTTTAAAATTATTTGCATTGTCCCTTGATATAAATATTCATACATGTGCACGAAAAGTTTGGGAAAGTTTGAAAAAATCAATAAAAATAAATAAATCGAGACCTTAAATTTATATTAAGGATCAAACCTACTACGGAGGTAGTCTTGTGTAAAAACATAAGTGGAACGCTAATTCACTCAGATTTAAAGTTTGTTTAGATTGACTTATAAATAGTTTTTCAAACGTGATTTATAAAATACAAAATAATTATATAAGGAGAATTTTGTCTCAATTTACATAAATTTACTTAAAAGTCTATTTTAAACGGAGCTTCAAACAAGCTCTTAGTATCTTGCTCATTTTGTGTTAGATCATTTTAGGTTATTTTTTGATCTGCACGGGGCATCCACCCAACCTCTTTCACTAGGACCTGTGGTTTGGAAGCAGTTAAGCCCCCCCTGTCTTCTATTTAAAATAACAGTAAACATAATGCAATTTACTCCTATAAGCAGGTGAAAACACACACACAGAGTCTAAAATACAGTTTTTTTTAAAAAACCTTTTTTTCTTCCACAATATTAGATCTCGAGTTGAATCACATACTGCTAACTTAGTTTTTAATATTTAAATTAAACTCTACATACCTAACTCTTCTCTTCCCATCACTTATATCAAATTTGTTTGAATTTGGTGCTCAGTCTTCTTGATATTTGTGTCATATGGAAATTGTGTTTGGAAACATGTGACTCTGACTGTGACAGGTTTGACTTAATGTGTGTGTGTGTGTGTGTGTTTTTTTTTTTGGGTTAAAACCTGAAAGACCTTAATGTGTTTGAATCAGCATCTGTAATCCTTTCGTGCAATATATAAGTTTAAAATAATTAAATCATATTTAATAAATTAGCGGTTAAAATTAGTTAAAAATAATAAATAGGTCAGAAATATGTATTTTTTTAAAATTTGTCTTTATTTGTTAAAAGAGTAAATGAGAGAAGCAATAAATAAAAAAAATAATGAAAGAGAATATATGGAAGTAATATTAATGTGAGAGATGAAGTAATAAATACAATCAAGTAATAGTAAAATAGAAAAAAAAGCAATAAATGCTTAGACAAACTTAACAGTGAAGCTTATATTTTGAACTAGACCCGTATCTAAAAGTGAAACTTATATATAAGATCGGACGGAGTAGTATATATTTATATATGTCACTCAATAAATATTAAGAATAAAACATGAATGTGAAGATGATGTATGGTATAAACCTCACCGCACTCGTGTCACTCTCTCGATATATCAATACATAAACATAAAATCTAGTTGACTGAGAGATTAAAAAAAAACTAAATAAATTATTTTAAAGTATTTATAGTTATTGGTTTTTTCAAAACTAATTGACCTATAAACTGATATATAATATAATAATATACATAAATAATTTATAAAAATCATGCAATATATATATTATAATTAAGTAATTTATTTATTTTTTTTAATTTTTTTAAAATCAATTAACTGAACCTTATATTAAGAATTAGGTGCAATAGTGTATAATATTATTATGCATAGGGTATTATTTTTTTCGCCAACATGTAGGACATAAACAGTTCAGATCCCTTGTTCCCACCGTTGATTGGTGCCAAAAAAGTGAGGGAAGGTAAGCTTTGAATTTGAAGGGCTAATGTAGGAGGGCAGATGGTCCTTTGATTTGAAATTGAAAGGTGGGTCCTAACCATCATTACCAGATTTTTTTTCCCCTCTTCACTTTTAGGATTGTATGCATTTTAGTCATAAAAATCTTATCCAAATTGTACAACCACTTTTGTTTTTTTACCGCATCCTTGTTGATATTTTCTTTTAGCCTTTGAGATAATCAAATTAGTCGGACTCTTGTTTGAATTTCAATTTGCTCATTTTTACTTTAAGTTAAAAAAAAGAAATATACAATTATATATAAAAAAAGGAATGGACAAATTTTTTTTTTTTTAACAATCGCTTTTCTTCAAAATCAAAGTATGATTATGAAATTGTTTAATTTTCAATTTCTCATGATGTAAAATTCTCCACAAGCTCCTTCTTTTTTTGGGAATAAAAATTCAATAAACTTTTACATGATTTCTTTTATGATTTACTTGTAATTAATATTTGTGGATAAAAGTTGTATAAATTTTGGAAAGAATTAGACTCATCTTGGAGTTTGGTGCTCCAAATCTAATTTAAGTCATATTTGTGGCTTCCTAGCCTCTGTGGTCTTTACAAATATCAAAATGGTCTGTGTTCAAGTGGGGGAAAAAAAAGGAAGGGATTTGCGTAATGTCATTAAAACGTATAAGTATAGTTTCATAACTCGTTGATATTTGCCCCTCATATATGATAGGTCGATCTAAATGACAGGGTAGTTTTTTTTTTTTTTTAAATTTCTTTAAAGAGAATGATAACCTTGCATTTTCAGAGAAGGTATGTACCTTATCTGATGAGTTTGAATTTTGTATTCTAATATCATGTAATTTTCATAAAGAATTCTTACAAATAGCACATAATTAAACTAAAAACTCATGACTTTATAAAGAAATTTGATTTCTTCTACTGCAGAAAAGGTTTACAGATACCAAATATAATAATATATATGAGGACTAAGAATCCTCTATCAAATGCTTAAAAAATTATTACAATGAAAGATGTGACGAGAGATTGTCCCAAGAGAAAGAAGATCAACACAAAATTTGAGCATGGATCACAATATACTACAACATGGCATAGATTGTAATAATAAAAAGAAAATAAATATAAAATCAGCCACATTTTTCTGTATATTTTTATATGAAATCTGAAAAATAAGTCTGATGACATGTGAATAGTAAAACTTTAATTTCTTAGTGGGGTTTTATTATGTATAATGATATATTGATTAAGGCAATATATCAACCTCTAAGAAAACGCCAAGGTCCTGTTCCTGTTCCCATCCTGCAATATTGAAACAAAACATTTTCATTAAACTTCATAAATATTTTTTCATTGAAGTCCTTATTATTTCCAATAAAATAAAACAATTAATTAATTGAGATCATCTTGTTTTACCTTGAATTTTTTTTAGTTCTATAGAAATTTTTTTTGGCATGGATGTATAATTTTAAAAGGAATAAAAAAAGGAATGAGTACCTCCAAATTCCAGCAAGCATGCGAAGAGCCATATATATAGTCAAACCAATCCATATGCCAATATACCCTTTGGCTTTATACAGCAGGAATTCAATTCCAACGCTTACAATTGAAACCAATACCTGAAACATCCGCATTTCGTCACAACAACCACACGAAAAAAAAAAAAACATCATGTCATTTTCTTTTCTATATATATATATATATATATAAACATTTAAAGCAGAATTAATTAATACATATATAAGAGTTTATATGTGTGAGACTTGCCAAGGAAACTGCTGCATATGTAAAATCAGAAGCTCCATAGTTCACACCATCAAACACAAAGGACAATGCATTGATTGGTTGTGAAGCTGCTACAAACTGTTCCATTCAGTTCAACACACAACATTTAATTAGTTCACAAATCATATCCCATCAACATTGTTTCCACTTCATCAAATCTTGCAGAAGATGAACTTTTTATAGTCGATACTGCGACTTGGCTTAAATTTAGATCAGTTGATACGTACATAGTATTCCTCCGGTCCTAAATATAAGACCCATTTTGTAATGTATATTTACACTACAAAATGGGTCTTATATTTAGGACCGGAGGAGTATCATGATTTGTTGTTTTATGGTCTAGTGATCTGTAAGTTCTCCTGTAAATAAGATGTTGCGAGTTCGATTCTATTTATAACTTTAGGTTGTTAGTACTTGTTCTTATCTTTTTAATTTAAAAAAAAAAAAGGTGGAGTAGCACTTCTCTATTGTTGGAAAATACTAAATTCAAACAAAAACATTTTTGTGAGTTTAATATGCTTTAAATTTGAAAAGAAACATTGTAAAGAACCAAAAATATATATACATACAGGAAAGCCTATTTTGATAAGGTGGAGAACACTTGGGGTTTTAGAGAAGATGCTGGCTCCAAAGCCCAAACCAAAGCCAACAATAACAGATAGCCCTACTCCCATCACAAAAGTTATCTGCATATGTAGTAATCAACTACAAGATTAATAACTGAATATATTTTTATGAATAAAGCTTTAAAAAAAACAGAGCTTTTAGAACTCTCAGAAACTAGTAAAACAATTTTTTGACAAATAAATTATATCAGTTTTGTAAGATTATGACCTACCTGGAGTATCCTTACAGCTGATGCTTTGGCCTTGGCATAGTTTTTCTCAGCAAATGAACATGCCAAAACCGCCTGTCAAGAATATTATTTGACGTTTAAAATTTGTTTGGTTACGATGAAGAATATGGAGGAGAAAAAATTACGAGAAAAAAAATATATATATATTTTACTGTTTTTAGAAGTTTTTCTTCCTAGTATTCTTTCTCTATATTGAAAAGTGTCGGAGCCACCTGAATAGCAACAGCTAGACCATCAGACAAAAGGGAAGAAGTGATCCAAACTTGTTGGCATGTTTGGTGGGCAGCCATAGTGATTGGACCCAACCTTGTTGCTAATGATGCTGCAAATGTCACAACAAAAGTTACTGCAACTACTCTTGCCATCAACAACCCTCCTGCACATAATAATATTCATTCAATGATATTATTATCATTAATTAGATTTTATATATGATCATAAATTCAAAAGAGTCAGCATAATACTTATGTAAATGATGTTTTCATTACTTAACAATAATCTAACATTCTATATAAGTCATGTTAAGCTAAGAAGTAAATGCAGCCAAGGTGGGATGTATGAATTATGTGTTGGCAGTACAGGCGCTGTTCATAAGAGTTATTTCATCACTCTGTAGGTTGTGGTAACTCTCTAGAATTAAATGAACCCGTCTTAAACATAATGTTTAGAAGAAAGAAAAATCAATATAAGGTGCTCACCGTTTCTAAGAAAGCGAAAAATCTGCAAATCCTTAGTACTAGGAGGTGAGAGATTAACTTTTCTCATTAACAATACCAAGAGAGCCAATGCCATCAAGTACCTAAATTAAAAAAGATCACCAATATATATTATAATCAAATTATAATCAGTGGAGCAATTATTTATCCTTTGACAATGAAAATGATAATAAACATTGATTAAGAGTAATTAAGACTCACTGTGAGATGACATGAGCCAAGGCTGCTCCTTGAAGGCCTAACTTGCAGTAAAATATAAGTATGGGATCCAATGCTACATTTAGTGAATATCCACTAACTAAAAACAATCAAATCAACAAAATGAACCAAATTATCAGTTTATATGTACGCTTAACTAACTATATATTTTATGACTAATACAAAAGATAATTAATAAAAAAAAGTAACTAAACATATATACCAATAACATATAAGGGAGTTGTGGTGTCCTTGAAGCCTCTGAAGATTCCTTGCATAGATAAAGCCAGAAGAACAGCAGGAGAACCCAGTGCTCTCAGTTTCAAGAACTTTTCCCCAAGAATCAGCATAGGAGAATCCTAGTAATTAACAAAATACAAATCATTATATTACTTTAATTTACCCCATATATATATATATATTGAAAGATTAAGCTCACACAAATCTTTTGTTATCTGATATGTCTAGTTAATGATGAAAAGATAAATAGGACACTTACTGGTTTGGCACCCATAAGAAGTAAAAGAGGTTTTGCAGCAAATATCAGGAGTGATGCTTGAATGAGGCCAAGAATTGTCCCAAATATTAACGCTGTTGATGCTGAAGCTATCTGTTTCTTCTCCTTCTTCTTCTTCTTCTCACTCTTATTCTTGGCCTTATTATCCAAGGAAGAAGACTCGGACGTATTTGTGTTGATATCTGATATATATAATTCAGCATATTTTTCGAATTTTAAGAGCTTAATTACAGATAAAGTTAAAGTTATTTATATACAAATTAACTTCACTGAATATATAAATTATATAGTTGGACATGGCACTAAGAGTCTTACTCTTATCACTATTCTTCTCCACAGTGTCGCTCTCATCATCATCACCAATATTATTGTTAATATCATTATTCTCTTTGATGGGGAAACCTTTTTCAGTGTCTGAAATTTTCTTAAGAGTGTCTTCCTCTGCCACAAACGATGTAGTGACACTGACCAGAGGGAAAATGGTGATCCTTGAAGCTTGGTTAAACAGTGTTATAGACACTCCTGCTGCAGCAAGTTCCACAGGTCCTACATATATAATCACCATAAAAGAACACAGGTTAGATTGATCTGCAGATGAAGAACAGGGAACAACATATAGATTCCGGAATATTCTATGACCAGAATCATCATTTGAATACGATGTCTAATTTTAAGGTTTTATAGGAACGTACCTATATGGCCTATGAAAGCAGTGTCTATGAGAGAAGCAATGGGATCTGATGCCACAGCCATGGCAGCTGGAACTGCCATTCCTAGTAGTTCCCGACCAATTGAATCCAACTTGAACACTGCCCTACACTCACAACATTGTTCATATTCCAAACAAATCAATATTATTCAACATCCTACCCAAGAGAATATCAATATAATTGTCAATATATACCAAGTCAAACTATTCACACACACTATCTCCGGTCCTTGTATAAGACTTGGTTGATGAATTTGGAGATATTAAGAAAATAACTAAATTACTTAATTATAGCATATGTTATGTGATTTATAATAATGATAAATTTAAAAAAAAAGATAAATATAAATACTTTAAAGTAATTTATTAACTTTCTTAATCTTCCCAAATAAACTTGAGTATTATATTAAGGACTGGAGGTAGTATAAGCTTAATCTTAGAAATCTTTGGAAAAATATGAGTAGTCGAGGATTATAGTGTGATGTGGGTCACACTATAACTGATGATGGTACATGGGTTGGTTCAGTTACAAGAACACAGTTTCATCAGATCAAAACAGGGGATGATGATGTCGTCCATATATATATATATGTGTGTGTGTACGTACCTTGCATCTTCGAAGAAAACAAGGAGAGGAAACTTGAACCATTTGTTGTTACTTTTGAGCTCTTGCACAGTATTATTGCTTTCATTGTTGTCAGCCATGGGATCCAAAACCCTCAGAAAGAATCAGAAAACTTATTAATTCTTTGTTCACAGAGACTTGCTTCAGAGGTGAAGCTGATGCTGCTAAACAATCTGCAGAGTTCGAGGTTTATATAGAGCTTAATAAGCTGCATGGTGGTTCATGCGAAATACACAAAATGATTTTAAAAAGAACTAAAATATTGAGAGGGAATATTATATATGGAATATAATATGATAAAATCAACATTGCAGAAACAGAAGAGATAATATATCAGTTTTGATTACCAGCACTGAAGACATTGATACAATAGTAACAAAAGTGGTAGCAGAATGTCATGCTTTATCAGTCAATTAAGAATTAGTTAAAACCTTCCTCAGCTCAGAAAATAGCCCTCACGAACACACAGAATAGCTAGCTAGTACAAAAGTTTAATTATTTAGTTGAAATATGCAGTTTTAATTGCGGAGAAAAACCTTTTGAAATAAATAAATATCATACCATTTTTTTTTCCGTTAGTTACAGATATCCTTCTATTAAAATCAATTATATCATTTTATTAGAGACAATTTTATTTGAAACAATGTTAGTTACTAAATGTGGATACTTTTTCCGAATGGGGATTTTAACATTAGTTTATACCATTTTTTCCCATGTTGTCATTTCATCATAGTCAATCAATCTCTACTGTATTTTAATTAAAATACAGATCACATATGTTCTTATTGAATTCATATAGAACAATAATATATACTCCACATTTTAATTAATATACACGCCAGTTAGAATCTCCTCGAAACATTCCAAATTAGGGATGCTTATTCTTTCTTCTACCACTTTTTTCTTTCTTTTAGCTATTATTTTTTATTGTTTCGAAGATTTTATAATGTCCTGCAGTTACATATTTCTTTGGAATATTTAAAAACAATAAAAAATCAACAAAACAAATGTTGAAATTAATACGATTAATCATATTGGATATTTCCATTTTTGTATAAAAATCTAAACTATAAATGGCTCAATAAGGTAGCATGACAAATGCTATAAGAAGTTGAAATGCTTCTGAAAACTGCGTGGCTGTCTCAATAATAATTCTAAGAAAATACAAATGCCTGTTTTTACGCACACACGCACAACACAACACAAACACGCACAACACCCGCAAAGACATTGGTCGTTTAATGTTAATATGGCGTTTCTGAAATTTTAATCAATATTTTTATTGAACAACTACTTAAATAATAAATCATATATTTAAAACAGAGGAAGTGTAATTAACTAATTATGTTGTATCTCTGTGCATATTTTATGAATATATTATTTATTATTAGTTTTGTAAAAAATGATTAACTAAACAAATAAAGTAATTATTTTTTTGCCAACAAGTAATTATTTTGCACGAATGTGAACGTGTGTATGTGTGTGTCTATATACATACTTACACACACACACACACACACACATATATATATAAATATACATTCCCCAGTTGCTTATTCATATAATAGGACAGCAGAGTTGACTGGACAAATCATGCCGATATGAGAATACTTCCATAACTATTCATTTTGTCCAAAACTTCGTAATTTATTTTTATTTCACGTTTAATCAGAAAACTGTAAGATTAGAACAGTTGAGAGGTGTTGGCAAAAAATCCGAAACAGTTGAGATTTGTTTTTTGGTATAAACAGTTGAGAGGTTTTTTTGATGCAGCTGCGACTTGATGCATTTAGTCTACTTATTATATTTATTTTTTTAAAACTAATTTACCTAAATAATAAATCGATATATAATACTACTTCTGGTCCTTAATATAAGACTTAGTTAACTAATTTGAAAAGATTAAAAAAAACAATTAAGTTAGTTATTTGTAATAAATAAACATTGTTTTTCCTAGAACACCTTTACTAATAATGTGTATGAGCTAAAACTATTATTTGATAAAATCTTTAATACGTGCAACTAATACAAGAACTACTTGAAAAAAAATAGATAAACATAAAAGATAAATAGATTGAGGTTTTATATTTAAGACTAGCTTTTATATTAAGGACCGGAGGTAGTATAATATTACACGAGAGTATTTTAGAAAAATCAAATCATATTTATTATAATTAACTAATTTGTGTAACTTTCTTAATCTACTCAAATTAATTAGGTGGTTGTTATTAATAATTAATAATTAGTTAAATAAACAAGGGAGAACAATGCATGCATTAATAATTAGTAATTAGTTAAAACTACCCTTAGCTCATAAAAAACGGATATACTCCTCTGATCCATAATGTAAGATCTATTAAACTAATTTAATTAAATTTAAAAAGTTAGATAAGTTACTTAATTTTAAGGATTTTTTTCTAAAATACCATAATCATGTTTTTTAATATCCTCCTTTCCTGTCGTACTTGATTATAGTTGACGAAATATCAATAAGGATAATTTAAAAAATAGATAAATATAAAAATATGTATTATATTTAGGACCAAAATTAACTCAATAATTAAATCATCTGATGAGTACCTTATATCACATATGTCTACAGTGATTTGGATCTTTAATTTATTAATTATTATGATATATATTGGATTCAGTTTATTCTATATGTTAAAATGACTATTGTTGAGGGTGTTAGACAAAATCTTATGTTTCATGTCTTCCCTTCGTTGAATCTGGAATTCAAATATAAATGTATCGAATGCAAAGTTGGAAACTCAACTTTTCATTAACTAAAAAATTGATTTGCAAGCTAAACCTTTTAATTTGAAATATACAAATATTGGTTCGATTAGTTGCATACGTATAATCTTTTCATCACAATCAATCACATTCTATTATTTGTCCATCTCAATCAGTTGATCAATCAATCACATTAATTACTTAAACCATTATACACTTTTGATTGATATAAACAACTATACAGAATTATATAGCATGGACCTACACTAAGCACACTTCCGTGAAACAATAATATTTATATATGAACCTTCATAGATCTACTCACACACTTCTTCTTATGTATTATCTTGATTCGATTAAATTAATTTAACATCTAATGAAAACTATAAGCATTTACTAGCTTTGAATTTACTAATTATCCTTAAAAAAAGAATTTACTAGTTAAATTAATTACATTTTCAATTAAATTTTATTTTGCTAATTAAAAGCATATTTCGCTAATTATTAATTATTATTTATTACATAAACACTAATTAACACTAATTATCACCGGTAATTATTTTGTCTGTATTTCCCAGTAGCATATCCATGATGTGATGTCATGCAGACCTAAGAATACTTAGTATCCAACTATTCATATTGTCTACAGCCTTTTTTTTTTTTTGTGGGTGTGTGCATATTTTGGCTAAATATTGCCCATAACTTCGTTATTTTTTTAGATAAAAAAATTTACTTGAGTTCAGTTCTGAGAGACTCACCAAGATCAAAACATTTTTAGATTAAGAGAGTATTTACAAAAATACTTACAACTCATGATGAGAAATGATGATGTATTTGAAATGTTCTTGAATAAATTACATAATTTTCTTAAAACTTATTAAAATTGTTTATGATTCTTTATTCTTAAAATCATATATGAACTGTCAAATTTATGCATCTTGTTTAATAAAGATGAACTTCCCAATAACAACGATCGGGCGCAAAACTTGAAATAAAAAATAAATAAATTTTAACTCGTCGTTTTCTAGCGTAATTTTTTGGGTGTACAATTTCCTAGTCAAATGCTCCCTTCAGATCTTTTTTTCTCTTCCCAACGATGCTCCCTCGTATCTACTTGTAAGTTCTCCTTTTAGATTTCTCGTGTCTCTAATTATAAAATCTTAAAAAGATTAATACTTTAGACCAAAAAAATATGTTATGTAATGACCTGTGCAAAAAATTCTTATAATAAAGATTTTAAGTCTGTTTTTCCCCGCCTCACATGCATAAGTTGATGCATGATGTTGAGGAAGATTCAATTTTGTGTTTGTGAAACAATATATGGATTATGCATCGTGACGTTATACAATATTTACCATAATTGAAAATTCTTTGGATTTTAAATATTGTATAAATATTGAACCATCAATAATAATGATGATGATGATAATAATATTCCTGTGATTCCATTGCTCAATGGTTGACGTTATTGCAGACCCAATATGTAACCATCAAGGAATGAGGAATTAGAAACAAATCGGAGAATCAAACTGCACACTAGCAAAAGAAAAAACATTTAATTAGTGATAGAAAAATATTCAGCTAATTTCGGACGAATTAGTAATGAAAAATTTATCGCCAATATTATCAATGGATTAGCAATGACAGAATTTAACGACCAAAAACTTTTATCACCAATTTTATCTAAAATGAAATAAATTTTTACTTTACTCACACTTAAATAAAAAAAAATTTAGATTTGTATCACATTCGTTTTTTGGCCAAGATATTTGTATCATATTCTCTCATAGTTAATGACTTCAAGTGTGAGAAACATTGTAAAACTTTACTTCTTTAATCATATTTATAAGGTAGAGAAATAATTAATGTTTTTTTTATCTTATTTATCAGTGACTTTATTAAATTTTTAGTATGAATGTACTACTAGTTTTTGAAAGGTGAATATATTAAATAAGGATAAAGTTAAAAATTTATTATATTTTTAAAGAGAGTTAGTATAATTTGATATCTTCTTTATATATGTGAAATATATTGAAAATGCTCTAAAAATAAGATCGGAAAAATATCTCATCAAGCGATTTATAATAAAGAGCATCTGTATCTTCTGAAATAGTGGGCCTGATGTTGGCAAAAAAGAAAAATAATGTGCCTAATAATAAGGGCGTGGAAGCTTGAAAATGACCATTAACAGTTTTTTGAACCTAAAAGCATGAGAAAGGAACGTTAAATTGAGGCGATGGTGCTCATATCTCGCAGGCTTTGCTTGATCCTTTACCAGTGATCCCTACGTGCTGAATATTAATTGGTGAATTTCCTAATTCTATTCAATTATTAAATTAAAGGA